ACATTGAAACATTGGTTGTTATTGTGTATAAATATTATTTATTTCTTTACATTGAAATACTAGTTCTTATTGTGTATAAGTATTATTTATTTCTTTACTATTGCATTCGAATGAAACAAAACTTTGAATTTTGTACATGAAACTGTTGAATATTTAGATTGGTTCGAAACATACTAGAAATTAGTTTCCCACCAATGATTTCAAAAATTAAAAAAAATGTTATCCCCTTGCCCTGTGAAAATTTATTGCACCAGAGTAAATTATACACTGTTGAAATGTTACCCCATTACCATGTGAATTAAGCAATTAATGTCGAAAAGCTTAATATTCGTTTTGTTTTAGATGCTTTCAATGTAATCAAGCTTAACTGTTTTACCTATAAATAAGCAAGTAAACCAAAACGTGGCAAAATTGTCTTATGTGCAGCCGTTAGAAACAGAGTAGAGTATTAACAGATTGCGTTGTGATTAATTGTACAGTAGTATATGTCTTTTATGTAATATTTTACTTACCATTTCCACAATTGTTTCATATACTGTGTGGCCAGACACATTTTGGTGTAGATGTCCTGCTCTAATCCTTTAGGATAGGCATAGGATGTATATCGTGATAATATGTTTATAAGGTCTATACTTGGTTGAACTTATTTCTGCGTTATAGCCTCTTGATGGGTGATACGATAAGTTGTACAAGTCAATATGAGTTGAAGTTTATCTCCCTTGAGTACGTATAAGATGAATGATCATTGATACAAGTAAATTCATAATTGTAGGATACTAATAGGACTTTAGCGTAACTTGAAAAGGGTGCATTATCATTATTCTGAGCCCTGTCTCTGTCTTATGCAGAATTATAAAAATATTCTCTTTGTTCTATCAGCCACGAGCTATACAATAGGATTTAGGCGCAGACTAATATAATGTTAATAATACTTTTTTTTATTAGTAAAGATCCTGTTTATTTATTTACCCGTGTGTTTGCATCAATGTTTTGGTATTCCTCCCCGATTTACACTTTGCTGAACATTTACTGAACCTGCTGTTTATTCCAGCTAGTTATTATCTCTTGTAAATCATACAATGAAGCTGAATATCACACAATTGTTTCTAACGGCTGCACATAAGACAATTTTGCCACGTTTTGGTTTACTTGTATATTTATAGGTAAAACAGTTAAACTTGATTACATTGAAAGCGTCTAAAACAAAACGAATATTAAGCTTTTCGACATTAACTGCTTAATGTCACAGTTTGTTTAGAATTTCGCGCAAAGTTACACGAGGGCTCTCTGCGCTATCCGTCCCTAATTTAGCAGTAAAAGACTAGAGGGAAAGCAGCTAATCATCACCACCAGCCGCCAACTCTTGGGCTACTCTTTTACCAACGAATAGTGGAATTGACCGTCATATCATAACGCCCTCACGGTTGAAAGGGCGAGCATGTTTGGTGGGACGGTTATTCGAACCCGCGACTCTCAGATTGCGGGTCGAGTGCCCTAACCACCTGGCCATGCCGAGTCTTAATGTCACCGAGCGATCATGGTAGGTAGAATAAGGACAGTAAAAATGCTAAATAGTAGACGAATAAATATGGTAAAATGGACAAGAAATGCTGATTAACTTTTATTTGACTTGGTTGCAGTAAACTTTAGTTTGATAATAATGCATAAATCGTTTCAACACAAACATTAAATTTTAAGTGAAAAACTGATAAGTGAAAAAACGAAATCGAAAACTGAGTCCAGGACCTCTAGCTAACAGAAATAGCGCCCGGAGACGTTTTTCACTTAAAATATAATGTTAAATATTGTCTTTTCATTGTTTCCTATTGAAATTTAAAACTAAATATAAATCGGAGATAAACTTCTTGTAATATGGTGTTTGTACCTATCATAACATAGTATGGTGATCATACTCGTAGTAAAAAGTATTATAAGTCTAAATTAACGTGTGCGGCCTGTACTCTTGGATAGAGCATTAACTCTGTTATCTAGAAGTCCAGGCTCAAGTCCCAGAGTAGTTTTTAACTTATCAGATTTTTCACTTAAAATTTAATGTTTGTGCTGAAACGTTTTATGCATTATGTATTATATTTTTATACTACTGATTCAATGTACTCTTCATATTTTGAATATGTAAACAAAATTTTATCACTTAATCTTCTACGGATTTCAATGGCTGTTAAAGAAGGGATTGTATGTGAAATTTTGTATATTATATGAAAACAACCTATCGTTGATTAAAAAAAAAGATACAGTGACTTTTGTCTTCACATCTGTGCAAAGTATGGCAAAAAAAGAACAAAGCACGTTCTTACATTTCTAAAAATGTCTGCCTTAACAACTATCGTGGATCAAAACTTCACCTTCCTTTATACAATCATCATGCTGAACAAACTCACTTCAAAAACAATAAAATTAAAGTTTGAACGAAAAGAATGAATTTCATAATACTTTCTTTGATATTATAATTGCCAACCTAAACGAGACTTTATGCGACACATGGTCTAAACATTTAGACTGGGCCTTATGCGACACATGGTCTAAACGTTTAGACTAGGCTAGAAATCTTTACGGTTCAGGTTGATGAGTAAACGGAGGGCAGACGAGCAGCAGTAACTGTCACAACAAGCGATTTGTCCAGATTTTGTTTTTGAACTGTAAATGGGATTGATTCTCACTTTTATAGTGCCAAAAGTTTTTAAAGGTTTATTTGTAACGGAAAGTCTGGTTTAGACGTAAGAAAATCATCAAATTTCAAAAGAAAAGACGAGATGTTTAAAATGTTGAAATTATTGAACCATGTGTCGATATGAATACTACTATATAGAGAAACAAGGACAAACAAAAATATTATTTTGAGGAAATGGTGTACATTTATACATAGTTAAAGACTGATTAAAGGTAGAAATTTAAATTGCTAATATTGATTTCTTTGAAGCTAATAGTTCAATTCTTAAACGGAAAGGAATTGCAATAAATAAATCCATTGTCAATTAATTAATGACCAAAAATCTGGAACGACAAGCTAATGATTGAAGCACTTTGAAGGTTGTGTTTGAGAAATACGCATTTTGAAAGAAACTTATCAAAAGCTTAAGAAATACATTAGTTTCTTTTTTGTATTCGTTTGCATGTTTGCTTATTTGAAAGAGCGTGACGCTTTCGGGGATTTAACTTATTTGTTTCCTGTATTCTTTTCCGTTTCAAATAACTATATTTTAAGAACTTGAACAATATTATTGCGTTCATAATTAAACGACGACTTATCTTATTGTTTGGTTTGTCTAATATAACACAGTTGCTACGTTTTAAACTTATCCTGTATCGAAACGTAAATGAAATTCAGTAGCAATTATTAGCCGGTCCCTGCCTACTCCAATCACGCGAACGTAAAGCGACAAAACTCATTCTGTAGGCTCGAGTTACCTGTATACTGACTGTAGTGTGAGACTATCAAATACGCGTACAGCTACGCGCAATATCTGTTGTCACATAGAAGTATTAGGCCTAAGAAATGGTGACGGTGTAAAACAGCAGAAGTGCATTGCTTTCACTAGTTAGGTAAGAATTTTTTATCGTAATTAAATATACTTAGCTATTCTGTCTTTCTGTTTATCTCCGTGTCTGTCTGCAATGTGATATTGACATTATCATTATTATAGAAATCAGATCATTTAATTTTCACATATAAATTTCGAAATTGAACTAAATAAGACAGCGAAGAACTTTTCAGTGCAACAGAGTAACTAATTGAGTAATTCTGTACAAAGCTTTAACCTTGTTTGAGATGGTTTAGTTTATAACAAACACTAAAACAGATGTGTATAAATTCTGTCTCTAATGTCTAAAAATGTTACGTGTAACGTATTATGTACATGCGCTTATTTACTTGTAGATAAGTGAGAACCAGAGAAGGAACGTTAATCAGTGTTTGCAGTTCTTTGTGAATATAGTTCATTAAACAAAAATTACTTTCATGTTTAAGGTAGAAGGAATGTTGTTCTAAATATTTACCCTACTTAAACATGAAATTAGTATTCAAGAACTAATGTTACTCGATACATGACTGGCGGGATGATGAAGGAATGTTGTTCTAAAAATGATCCATCATCCCGCCAGTCATCTTTCAAGTAGCATTAGTTCTTGAATACTAATTTCATGTTTAAGGTAGAACGAAGGTTGTCTCAAAAATGATCCATCATCCCGCTAGTCATATAACGAGTAACATTAGTTCTTGAATACTAATTTTTAACTACTTGTCAATTTGTAAAATAAAGGCATATTTAATATTAATCTGTTTAACATGATTTTTCTGTCATATTAATTACCAAGGAATTAGAGTTTCAGTTTTGACTTAGATTTTGTTATTGTTGTTATTAAGCTCAAAACTAATACAATGAGTTTTCTGTGCTTTTCCCACCGTGAGTATCGAAATTCGATTTTTTTTCGTTATAAGCCCTTAGATTTACCGCTGAATCACCGGAGTTCAAAGGATATTTGTGTTTAAGCGTAAAACTACACTATTAATATGTTTTATTTTCTGTTCGAAGTCCGACTTCAGTGTATATATAAGCCCTCAAGCCTAGCGTTGAGTAACTAGGAATCAAGTACAAAGCTAAACAATGGACTACCTGCACTCTTCCAATGGAATGAATCGAACCATGGATTTTAACGGTGTGAGTCCATAAGCTTACCTTGACCAACTAGGAGACCAATCCAACACATAAAACTTAAATAAAAAGGCAAGTTTACATGAATTAAGATAGCACTGACCCTTAAAACTGGGCAAATTTACATGCTGACGAAACACTGCTAAACACTTCTTATAACCTTCAAGTTGAATACAAAACAAAAGTATGATGTTACAATCTCTGAAAGTACACTTTCTGTCATATACGTCATATGCATAATTAAAGTGGCAGAGATAGAGAAATACATAACATAAACTGTTTTAACACCATAATTTTACTTATGAATAATAACAATATGTGAAAATTGATACACATGCTCTTTGTGTACATCCTCATAGCTTGAATTAAAAACTTTGCAAATTTTCTCTAATGTTGACGAGCTATGGGCAATTCATTTTAATTAATGCCTTCGTTAGTGGTAATTAGACTTATAACAAGACAGTTGGTTAAGATTTTTGAATTAAAAAAAAAACCAAGCTATGGAAGAGTCTAATATCAACAAGTGTGCTACATTTCATGACGATATTGGCTTTAATGGTGAAGTTATCATGCTAATAAATTGGTGACCCTAGTGAAAACTGCGTTTTGAGAAAATATCCGTTAAAGATTTTCTGCACTTAAAAGTCAGTAAGCTTTTAATAAATATATGCATTTACCACATTTAAAATATCTCATCCTATTGTAGACACCAGGAGCCACCCTAGCTTCATTTCCTCATCTAATATCCCCTGAAACATAAACATCCTCTTCTTTTTTGGTAGCAGCTTTCTCAAAGCCTATCTTAACATTTCTACGAGACACGCGTTTCTGCTTTCCTTTCTTGGAGGAAAGGAAGCCCTTTCCTGCTTCTCTCACCCACTCGAAGTCAGTTTTCTCCAGACATTTTCTTGTGTATGGGCGTGCAGTCATTTTCGTTACTTCAAGGACTCTTATTGTAAATGTAACACCTTCATTAAAGGTGCACACATCATCAACAGCGGCCCAGAAACAGTTTTGTTGTCAGCAAATGAAGACTTGAGGCATCTTCTCCAGATCATGTGATTCAGTGACTAGTTGGGGTTTTGGGTAATACAGACCAAGAATTTTTGAAGCAAAGTTGGCTTAAAGAGTTTGTCAAATATTGATTTCATGCTGTTCATTACAGCTGGTGCTATGGTATGCTTATGATGGAAGTCCTCAAGTTCTCCCTTTGCTTCTGCCTTACGATAATTGTACCAGCTGTCCACTCCTTTCGGACAAAGGAGATATTGTGGGATGGAGTCAGAAGAGATCTTGTGATATTATATTGCCAAAATACCATCTTTCATCCCCTATAGGTTTCCTTTGTTACTTCTTAAGGCTTTTCCATGCCAGAACTGGAAGGAATCTATAGCTTTGTCGTTAGCCGTCCCTTCCCCCTAATGATTTACCTGTCTGAAAGCTTTTTACTTTTCATGTCCTGCTTTAGATTCCGTGCAGAAATCCTATTGCTGTTGCTCACTATGTCTAAAAATAAACCTGTAAGGGTAAGCTGAATATTCCACTTTAGCATAGCAGTGGCCATATGGCTTAAATGGGTAGTGCAACCGAGGGAAAATTGGCTTGATTTTAGGGCCGTTTCCATGGAAATGGAACGATAACAAACTAGACTTTAATTTTTAATCGCTTACTACAGGTTAATTAGTAAAGATTTTAACACAAAAATGTGTTATTTATGTAGAAATAAGGTTAGAATTTCGATTTTGGCTAAATTTGAAAAATGTTATTTTTGAAATACTGGGGACGCTCTTTAAGAGTCAGTGCTACATTAATATCTAACAGACTAGCAACTGAGAAGATACTATTACCTATTTAATAGATACTTGTGAGGAAAAGTGTATTTCCATGGGAAATATGTATTAGCGATTCTTTCCTTTATGTTTAATAAAAATAGTTTCTCTGTGTTTTGATTTTGATCATAATTTTGCACGAATTATGCTTTCAGTAGAGATTATTATAGTCTGTTGTGCAGCACGCGGAACGGGTATTGCTTAACGGATTAAGTTGGCAATTAACTGTTATAATTAATAGACTTTTTTTTTCATATTAACCTTAACGTCGGAAATCAATCATACAGGTATTAGTGGTCGTTTTTGTCATCATAATATCTGGCAAACGATAAAAAAACGATATTAGGGCTTTCGAACAATATAATTTTTGTGCTCATCGGTTCATCTCTTGCAGTAAAAAATTCACTTAAAAATGATTCTCTCATTTGTGTTAGGATTTTGGTGAAAGTCCATTTCAAAATAATTTACCAACAAAAAGTTCTGTTTTCAACGTTAACTTTATCAGTTTAGGTACACCGGAAGAATATCAGAAAGTCTTATTTACCCTAATTTCAATTGAAAGTACAAGTCTGGAAGATGTGATGTTTACATGAAATGCAAACGTTATGGATGCAGTCACTATGGGGTTTCTAGTGAAGTTAAAGCAAAAGCGATAAGAAAGAGAGGTCGTCCAAAACATGGGAATTTATCCACAAAATGACAAGAGAGCTTCGAAGCAGAAGAACGATAAGAAGAGATTCTTTGTTCCTTTCGTTATAACAATAGGGTTGGCGAGAGACGCTTAAAAGTAATGCACTGGGTCTTATATTGGTGTGCGCATTTTGAAAGGAAATGATTCTTAAGCACAGAAAGATAGAAACATATTTTGAAAAGCGTTATTGTCTTCATTTACGCTGTGTCTGTTAATGGTTATATTAAGACACGAAAATTCCGTACCCTTGAAGTACGAATTCCATTGTTTATAAGTATTGTTAGATGGCGCCCGCACATGACAGATATCAGTTTGATGTTGAACGAAAACAAAGGGCTTGAATTTTGCAATTACAGAATGCTTTGTACTTTTTACTGAGCATCGACTATTTTTGGCACTATCTGTTTCTTGAAACTCATTAATAGACCAAAACTAGCGGGATGGAACAAAACATATACTTCACCGCATGTCTTTATCTTACATTTTCCAGAAGTTATAACCTTTCGAAATATACAGACGTTGTGTATTTATTAATACTTATATCGAAGTTGACCAATTTTCATCTCATATGGTAACTTCACAACTTCAGTCAGCTCTAATGCAATTTATTTCACTTCAATAAGTCTTCCTTCAACCTCTTTGTTCACATGGATACAGTTTAATATTGTTAAGTTATTATAGATCAAACATCAGTATAGCTAGAGGTTGCCAAAGTAAAATAAAGGAAATCATGAAGGGGTTTACTTTAAAAGCTTGAAATGAATTGTATACACAAAATCAATTATCCCAAAAGCAGCTATTTAAAAGTTTAAAAACTCTACTGCATCTGATTTTATTTTATTATAAGAGGCTAACTCACCAAATATGTATGCGACTGCCTTAGGTAACTTATAGTTTTAATTCATAAAAAATTTAGCTCTAAAACGTTATTAATAACTGCTGTCACATAATTTGCAATTTTAAGATTATTATGTTATTAAGAAGATTTTCTAAACGCCTGGAAAGAATTTCTGTATAAAGACTACAATGTGATTATAGTACTGACTTTGAAGTTCTTGAAACAAATACATTAACCATGCACATGTACCATATAGTATATATCGTGTGTTGCCTATAGCAACAGTTATTAGTAATACTAACTTGCATTTTGGATGTACATGGAATTGTGCGTTTTCAGACATTTGTTTCGTTTACGTGCTTCGGTTTCACGTCACTTTTCAAGTCTCGCGAGACGGTTGTTGTATACACGAACGCATCGTGTCGAGTTGTTTATATTTCTGAAATATGCATCTGTGGACCCAAGGGAAAAAAATCCCTGTGTTCATAAAAGAATAAACACATTCAACGTTATTTTGTATCGTTTCTTAATCATTTACTTGTCCAAAAGTAAAACTGAAAACATGAGAGGACTTTATACTGATGGCTGAAAACTTCACATCGAACAGCTAAGAGAATACTTGGTTTAGAAAAAAATCCGTCCATTTAAATGAACTTAACCAGAAGGTATTATTGAAATCGATATTATTCGATTTAATACCACGATTTACTAACATTTCAACTACGATGTCGTAAGTTCTGGAAAATGAAAAAAAAGTTATTTTCTTCTGAACTGTTTAATCAACTGTTGTGATTACAATAATTGATTTATCTATCACTCTGTGTATTTTTGGTTTTCAAAGATGCTACTTGCTACTGAACTAACTGTAACACATACGTTTTATTTTTATTAAATGCGGTTTCCAGTCCAACTCATATAAACATTTTTATACTGATGAACTAGAATAAGCTATCAAAGAAACAAAAATAATTCTACGTATATTATGAATGTGTTTATTAAGACTGTGTGTTTATTATAACGGTTATGCTTATTTATAATGTGTTTTGAGAAATATTCTTAAAGCATAGGTTATGCTATAGCTGTTAGATACCTTTAAGCAAGGCTTGTAATAATATTTATATATAAATTTACATTGCATTGGTCCTCTAAATAAATTTAGAATTTTTATTGATATATCTGAAACATATAAATTATTATAAGCTACATTCAATTTTAAAACATGTCTCGTATTCATGTAAAGGCATAAAACTTGCTTTCGGTGGAAAAGAAAACACGACATTCTTCTTTTTTTCCATTTCCTTTTCATATACAACACAATACAGCTGTACCATCATTTTTCCAATATTTGTTATGAAGAAACATAAATACAATAAATACGTTTATCTTTAGAAACTAGCGTTTTCGTTGCATCTTTGTAGACGATCATAGTTAGGTAAGAAAGAGAATAGGGGGGTGGGGTACTTGTATTTGAAATATATGTGCAACGTTAATTATGTGTCAGTCACGCTTAATGTTTTAGTATGATTTCGCGTTCTCTTTATTTTAAAGAAACCCTAACTTCTCCATTACAAACAGATAATGTAGAAACTCACATTGACTAATACATTGTCGTGGTTATGATTACATCAATTTATCTATTTTTAGTATTTAAAGATACTACTTGCTGCTATAAATATACTCATCTTAGCACTATTCTTCAATATTAACATTTCAGTGATTCTTATTGGTTTGAATTTCGCGCAAAGTCACACGAGGGCTATCTGCGCTATCCAACCCTAATTTAGCAGTGAAAGACTATATGGAATGCAGATAGTTACCTTGGGCTACTTTTTTACCAACGAATTGACCGTCACATTATAGGGCGAGCATGTTTGGTGGGACAGGGGATTCGAACTCGCGACCCTCAGATTGCGAGTCAAGCGCCCTAACCAGCTAGCCATGCCGGGCCATGATTCTTATACTGTACATTCAGCACTGATGCTATGCAGTGTTATACCAATTTCAAAATTATTTTTTTAAAATAAAAGTATATGCTTATTATTGTGCAAGTCTATATTTTTTTTGTTATTCAAGGCTACAAATTATCGCATAAGAAAATAACACCAATAATAATTATTGTAAAATAAGATAATACCAATTTATAAACTGAGAGAAGTAAATAGATTTATATGAAAATATTCGAACTTAGATGAATCCGATTTTTCTAATTTATTATTATAGATTAAACAAAAAGTAACTTAGATATTGGTGTATAGAAGAATAAACGTATTCTGATTACTTTATTTCTAGAGACCTTTGGAAAGGCGATGAGTACTAAGCACGGATATCCTCGTCTGACGAGACGTCTACGAACTATTGTTTCAAGACGAATTCGTTTGCCTGATGGTTTTATTATCTTACTTGAAGACGTGACGCGTGAAATATTACGTCATCAGCCAATAGACATTCCCAGCTTTGCTGCTGCCCATTTTGAAAGTTTGTTACAAAAGAGAGAACAATGGATCAGAACAGGTGAATATAACATATACATTTGTATGTTTGTTATAGCAAAAATCTCGCGAAAGAATAGTAGTAAAAGTTGCTTCCGATGAAGGTGATTTGGCTGACCACTTATTTTTGTTCAACCTTACCCTTGCAAGAGAGTTTGAAGTAAAATACCTAAGAAGCTTGCATACGAGATGAAAGTAAAATCTATATGATTATACCAATCACTGAGTAATAACAGCAGAATAAAATTAAAAGGCCGTTCTGGTCAGTAACTGACAAAACGACAACGTTTCCGGTAAAAGAAGAGAATAATAATTTATAACAAATCTGAAATTGAAGATTAGTGAAGACCGACATAACAGTTATATGGGAAACTACGATTCACAGAGAACGTCGTTACAGGGTGAAGACCGACATAACAGTTATATGGGAAACTACGATTCACAGAGAACGTCGTTACAGGGTGAAGACCGACATAACAGCTATATGGAAAACTACGATTCACAGAGAACGTCGTTACAGGGTGAAGACCGACATAACAGCTATATGGAAAACTACGATTCA